TCTACCTAGAACAGTTCTGTAGTGTTTTATTGGCGTCTTTATCATCATCCTACAAGACAGTTCTGTAGTGTTTTATGTCGTCTGTCATCATCCTAGAACAGTTCTTTATCTATTATCATCATCCTACAAGACAGTTCTGTAGTGTTTTATTGGCGTCTGTATCATCATCCCTACAAGACAGTTCTGTAGTGTTTTATTGGCGTCTTTATCATCATCCTACAAGACAGTTCTGTAGTGTTTTATTGGCGTCTTTATCATCATCCTACAAGACAGTTCTGTAGTGTTTTATTGGCGTCTCTATCATCATCCTACAAGACAGTTCTGTAGTGTTTTATTGGCGTCTCTGTCATCATCCTACAAGACAGTTCTGTAGTGTTTTATTGGCGTCTTTATCATCATCCTACAAGACAGTTCTGTAGTGTTTTATTGGCGTCTCTGTCATCATCCTACAAGACAGTTCTGTAGTGTTTTATTGGCGTCTTTATCATCATCCTACAAGACAGTTCTGTAGTGTTTTATTGGCGTCTCTGTCATCATCCTACAAGACAGTTCTGTAGTGTTTTATTGGCGTCTTTATCATCATCCTACAAGACAGTTCTGTAGTGTTTTATTGGCGTCTCTGTCATCATCCTACAAGACAGTTCTGTAGTGTTTTATTGGCGTCTTTATCATCATCCTACAAGACAGTTCTGTAGTGTTTTATTGGCGTCTCTGTCATCATCCTACAAGACAGTTCTGTAGTGTTTTATTGGCGTCTCTGTCATCATCCTACAAGACAGTTCTGTAGTGTTTCACTGATGGTTCTATCATCATCCTACAAGAGAGTCCTTCAGTGCTTTACCACATCCTTCTAAAGCTCCGCTGGACATCCCCAGTAAGGACTCTCCGACTCGCTGCTAACCACGCCCTGTACGTCCTCACATAACGTCCTCTAAAATATCCTTCACGACGGACCCATCAACTGTCGCATCCTTCACTCTCGACACCTGGAGGACCCTGAGCCCGGGCCTGGTAGACACCCACACAGGACGGAGGTGTGTGGGCGAGATTGATCCCAACGTCCTCATCGAATATTCATGTATTGTAGTGAGGATTCGAACCCAGTGGCCTGGTGGTGCATGCGACGTGTATATGTGTGCGTCTGCCGCTCCCCCACCACCCTGCTTGTAAGAGATCGTTGGTGGTGGTTGTGGTGATGGTTGGTGTTGGTGCTCCCTCCTCCTACATCGTGGTGGCCAGCTTGTCTTGCCTCCCAGTACTGGTTAGTCCAGCCTCTATAACCTGTCCTCTCGGTGATGTATTCAGTACTGGGCTAAATGTGATAATTGAATTAATGATCTGACGACCAACTTAAACTATGTATGCAACTGTACAGAGATAAGACGTCGTGTCATAATGTTTACAATAATTAGTTGTGTTTTATGTTAGTTTAGGTGGATTTACTTAGTATAGATCAAGTCGAGCCAAATTTAGTTAATGCTGAGCTGTACTTAGAGTTTTCTGTTGTCAATAACTATATATGATACACGTTGATTATATATTAAATACGATGCCTAAACTCTCAGCAGCCAGTTTTTGGTAATCCTGCTCTATTAACAGTGAGGTTCTGTTTTAATTGTTCATTGATTCATGGACGGTCTTGGTTGACGACAGAATATACTGTAGGTGAGGCATCAGGGTCTCAGGTACAGTACATGGTTCTTAATTTGACTCTTTCGTCTAGTGTTAATATCTCAGCCTAGTTTACTGTTTTGTTACAAATTCTATAGTGAACTATGTATGAGAAACCTAAGTAAAATATGATAATGTTCCCGTATATCGATTCGGCTTCTGTTTATGATTGTGTTTGTAGTAAATAACGTGTGTTAATATTTACATTTCTGTCCTCAAGAAGTGAGAATAAGTTTTGCTTTGTTATCAAGGATCTGTTTATGTTTATTTTTGTATACCTAAACAGACAGTACGATGATAATATTATACTTGGTTGGCCAACAGCTAAGACGGGCTCACTAAACTTCTGCTTATGAGTGGTCTGGTGTCAGTAGCAAACGTCACCTGAAGAATGTCCACCCCAGCTTATATCACCTAATGATTAACCACCCTGAACCCAACCTAACCTAACCTAACCACCCTGAACCTAACCTAACCTAACCACCCTGAACCTAACCTAACCACCCTGAACCTAACCTAACCTAACCTAACTTCATCCCCCAAATAGTGTTGAGGTGATTAATCTTTAGGTAAAATACACTAGGGTGGAAATTCCTTAGGTCAAGGATGAGGAGAACTATACGTATACCATCTATCACTTCTACACTAGTCTAGGTTGATAGATAGTTACCCCGGTGTGTGGGTCGAGGACGGTTAGAGGGTCAAGGTCAGGGTGTGCAAGGTCACTCACTCACCCGACTTGAAGCTTCGTCATAAAACTTTGAGGACTAACCCCCGCCACCACCACAACACACACGTCAGCTGCTACCTCTTGTGTATTTATATATTTATGTATCTATTTATTTATTTTTACTTGGCAAAAACTATAATTTCGTCAAGTCTTTCGGTGGGGAAGTTTTATGAGTCTCTTTGTTCGTCTGTCTGTCTGTCTGTCTGTTGTTGAGCCGTCTAGCATCTCTTTATGAAAATTATACCACAACTTATTGGGTTTCTTGACAATTGGGTATTTTGTTCATAATGAAGTTATTTACGTATCAATTATGTCTATGGTGTATTTTTTTGTTACTTTTAGGTATATCTATTTTTATATATTGTTACTTAAATTTTGTTACGTTTATAAATCTTTATTTTCTTTAATTTGAATTACAGCACACACACACACACACACACACACACACACACACACACACACACCTCTAACTGGATCAACACTATTAAAAAAAGCTGCATTTTTTTTACGGAGGTTAGCCCACCCAGGCACAGGTCACTGACCCACATCGGGGCCTGGGGGGCGAAAATGTAATAATAGTAATAATAATGATAATAATAATAATAATAATAATAATAATAATAATAATAATAATAATAATAGTAATAATAAATAACCATAAATAAACGCAAAAATGAAAAAAAAATATCATGCGAGAAACAATATATATATGTTGTGTTGTCAATAGTAAAAGAAACAATTGAGACTCTGCAGGTGTGTGTAAATGAGGCAGGAAGTCAGATCAGCAACCTGGGACTTGGTCACAATTTTCGTGATGCCATATGGCAGCAGGGTCTACCATTAGACAACACATTATGCTTCCAATATCTTCCCAGGCGGTAGTACCTCCCTGTTTGATAGCTGCCTACTACCCTTAAAACTGGCTCCTGATTTTAAAATATTCTTACGATTATTTTTATTCCAATCTGGGCTAAGAGAATACACTTAGATGTGGTCGAGTCTTTGCAGTTTCATACCCATTTTGTTCACGTTGTTTATTATGTAGCTTAAATAAGTCGTTTAGAGAATTTCTCATATTAGTTACAAGGATATAAGCGTACGAACGTTGAAGAATCTAATGAGTCAGTTACCTGTGTTTCTACGTCTGCAGGTCCGGTAATTAACATATGGTTGCCCCAGAATACAGGCCCCGTGATGCTGCTTCTTAGATATTACGTCACTGTTAATATGTGTTACTGTCATTACCGCCATTTACCTTATTTTCAGTGGTTCTCACCCACCCTAACTTTCATCACAGGTAAAAAAAAAATGGTAACATTCGTGGTAACAATCTGATATGTTCTAACACCATGTTACGTGTACAATTCCAGATGATACTATGTAACATAATACTTCCTTGAGATAAATGTACAGTATACATCATGCGCCTACAAGAGAGCTCAGTCTCTCAAATGGCTCAGCCATGTTAATATTGTTGTTATTAGCGACTCTGTATCTGTATTTTTCTGGCTAAATAAACTGTTTCAATATCAACAATATGGCGGGGTGTTAGTAGTGTATAAAAAGGGGTCCCACACCTTTACTGCGTACGGGGATCGAACTCCCCTTCCCCTCCTCTTCCTCCCTTACCCTTTCCTCCCCTACCCTTTCCTCCCCTACCTCTTATCCTCCTCCCCTCCCTCCCCCATGTTTCAGGGAGGGAGAGGCAGCAGCAGTAAAATGCCACACTGGGAAATGCCAAATGATTTATGGGTCTCACCACGTCGTCTGTGGCCGCCACGATGATGGCATCTGGTGAGGAGTCCCTGCTGTGGCGACGAGGGAGGGAGGGAGGTAGAGTGATACAGTAAGTAGAGAGATAGTTAGTGAGGGAGGGAGATAATTAGGGAAGGAGGAAGGGAAAAAGGGAAGTAAAGAGATAGGAAGGGAGGTAGGTGAGTGGATGAGGGGAGGAGATAAATGAGTAAGGGAAGGAAGTGCTAACTTAACGATGGAATGAGGAGAATAAATGAGGGAAGACGGTGTGATGGGGAGGGGAGGGGACAGTCGGGGGAAGTGTTGAAGTTGGTTAGGGGAGGAACTAGAGAATGTCGAGGTGTGAGAGGGAGGGGGTGTTGATGGGGGAGGGGTTGACCAGACCTGGAGGTGTCACGAAGGCGCACCCCACGATATCACCAGCGAAGTAAGTGGGGAGATGTGTTGGGGAAAGGAGAGGAAAGGGAGATATTGGTGGTAGACAGGTGACAGGGGTATTGGAGGGAGGGAGGACGTGAGCAGTGGGAGGAGGTTAGGGGTGGTGGGAAGGCGTCACAAAACACTTAATGAGACTATCAATGCGACCACCTTACCGGCCATTTTTACTCGCTACCGGTATTTATGCCTCCCTGCTCATCCTTCAGGACTCCCATGGCAGCATTCTACCAGTCCTCGGGTCCTTGCATAACCTGGGAACAAATCCTTATAGTCCTGGGCCCTGCCAGAGGAGCAGGACGCGTGCAAATAGTGAATAATCTGAAGGCGCTGGGTCACGGCGCCTCCAGACGGCAACAGCCAGAAACAAACATCACCTCGACCTCTGGAGACAGTTCAAATCTGCCATTTACACCTCACAGGCTGTAAGGCTGTGGAGGTCAGCTGGTGCCCCCGCTGTGTTGGGGATGACTGGTGTGGGCTGTGTTGGGAGGATGACCAGGTGTGGGCTGTGTTGGAGGATGGCCTGGGTGCCCCGCTGTGTTGGAGGATGACTGGTGTGGGCTTTATTGGAGGATGACTGGTGTGGGCTGTGTTGGAGGATGACTGGTGTGGGCTGTGTTGGAGGATGACTGGTGCCCCGCTGTGTTGGAGGATGACTGGTGTGGGCTGTGTTGGAGGATGACTGGTGCCCCGCTGTGTTGGGGGATGACTGGTGTGGGCTGTGTTGGAGGATGACTGGTGTGGGCTGTGTTGGAGGATGACTGGTGCCCCGCTGTGTTGGAGGATGACTGGTGTAGGCTGTGTTGGAGGATGACTGGTGTGGGCCGCCGTACATAAGAGTGACCCTGGTATCTTACTTCAGCAGCAACAGACCCACACACTATGGACGTGACCGTGTGTGGGCCAAGACCGACTGCCTCACTGCACTCAAGCTGGAGTTCCATCTCAGGGCTTCTTGATATCGAGGCCAAGGCGTCTTCATACTCTCCGAGGCTTTATGAGGTGAATGGCCATAGTTGATTGGTTGGTGGTGATTAGTCAAGAAGGATGAGTTGGCTGTGACGTCATGATCAATCCTTCCGCATCGTAGTAGTCATGTTCTAATGTCTCTCTCACAGACTCCATCACCAACATCTCCCTCACACCTTCCATCACTCTCACCATCATCTCCCTCACACCTTCCATCACACTCACCATCATCTCCCTCACACCTTTCATCACTATCACCATCATCTCCCTCACACCGTCCATCTCTCACCATCATCTCCCTCACACCTTCCATCACTATCACCATCATCTCCCTCACCATCGCTTCTCGTTTCTGTCAATACTCTACACACACACACAAGTCAAGTGCCCATAAAGTGAAGATTTTCAACACATTCCCTACCTTAGGCCTTTTACATCAGATACTATGAAAGTAAAATATTTGATAATTTTTTTTTTAGTTTCTGTGTTGTTGTTCATTGTGGTTATATAGTATCGGCCTCAAGGTTTGTCTGTCTTTCTGTCTGTCTGTCTGTCTGTCTGTCTGTCTGTCTGTATCAGTTCTATCTGTATGTCTCTCAGGAAAAAAGAGGACCAGCAGAGAACATTAATTAATTTCTCGCTTTCTCTTTTCTGTCCCCGTTTCTCAATTTCTCTCTCAGTATACCTGTGTGTGTGTCTCTCTCTCAGTATACCTGTGTGTGTGTGTGTGTCTCTCTCTCAGTATACATGTGTGTGTGTGTCTCTCTCAGTATACATGTGTGTGTCTCTCTCTCAGCATACCTGTGTGTGTGTGTGTGTGTGTGTCTGTCTCTCAGCATACCTGTGAGCAGTGTCTATCCTTAGCATACCTGTATGTGTTCCAGTATACCTTGCGTGTGTTTGTGTCTCCCCAGCATACCTGTGTGTGTATCTCAGCATACCTCTGTGTGTGTTCCTCTTAGTATACTGTGTGTGTCACTCAGTATACCTCTGTGTGTCTCTCAGTATACCTGGTGTGTGTGTCTCTCAGTATACCTGTGTGTGTCTCTCTTAGTATTCCTGTGTGTCTCTCAGTGTAACTTGTGTGTGTCTCTCTCTTAGTATACTGTGTGTGTGTGTGTGTCTCTCAGTATACCTGTGTGTGTCTCTAAAGGTCTGTGTATCTCTCTCTCCGTATACCTGTGTGTCTCTCTCTCTCAGTATACCTGTGTGTGTGTGTGTGTGTGTGTCTCAGCATAGTTCTGTGTGTCTCCCCAGCATTCCCCAGTCTCCCCAGTGTACCTGTGTGGCCCCCAGGGCATACCCCAGGTGTCCCCTCTCCCCAGCATACACCTGTGTGTGTCTCCTCCCCAGCATACCTGTGCATCCCCCCAGTGCACCTGTGTGTGTCTCCAGCATACCCTCTGTGTGTGTCTCTCAGCATCCCCTGTGTGTCCCCCAGTGTACCCAAGGTGTGTGTCTCCAGTACACCTCTGTGTGTGTCTCTCAGCATACCCTGTGTGTGTCTCTCTCTCTCAGCATACACCCTGTGCATCTCCCCAGCATACCTGTGTGTCTCCCCAGTACCTGTGTGTGTCTCTCCCCAGCAGGACACCTGTGTGTGCCCCCAGTATACCTCTGTGTGTGTCTCCTCCTAGCATACCCCTGTGTGTGTCTCTCTCAGTATACCTGTGTGTCTCTCTCAGTATACCTGTGTGTCTCTCTCAGTATACCTGTGTGTGTCTCTCTCAGTATACCTGTGTGTCTCTCTCAGTATACCTGTGTGTGTCTCTCTCAGTATACCTGTGTGTCTCTCTCAGTATACCTGTGTGTCTCTCTCAGTATACCTGTGTGTCTTTCAGAGGAACAATCAGCCAATGAATACAGACGCGGCAATAAGTGGCGGCTCTTTTAAATCTTTTTCTAATGTTCAGTTTCAGGCTCAATGACTTATTGCGTCCCTGAGTGTCCACTACTACCACTCCTACCACTACTACCACCACTACCACACCATCACCACTATCTATTATCTAAGAATCAATATTTTTTGTAATACCTTCTTTATATACCTGCTTTTATTGTACCATCAAAACCGTTTTATCAAAAATTATCATATCGATAGCTAGAAATAAATATATTTGCCAACTAGACATAATTCTGACAGCTCTGTCGTCATGTTCCACCTTAATACAACCCATGTTGTACTGCTTCCCTCCCTTATCATATTTATGTTTATCAACTCCACTGAAAATTATGTATATACTTATAATATAAATGTAAAAAATGTAATTAAATTAATAAATATCGAAGTGATAACCGTGGTTACATTCTGAGATGTTCTTATTACCACCATGCTATGTGTACTATTCCAGGTGATACTAAATGTTACATAATACTTCCTTGAGATAAATGTATAGTATATATCAGGTGCCTACAGGAGAACTCAGGCTCTCAACTGGCTCAGCCAAGTTAATATTATGATTTTTAATCGACTCTGTATGTGTGTTCTTCTGGCTAAATAAACTGTTTCAATATCAATATAACTACCGCCACATCATCACCATCACCACCATCATCACCAACACCACCATCACCAACACCACCATCACCAACATCATCATCACCACCACCATCATCACCAGCACCACCATCATCATCACCACCATCACCACCATCATCATCACCACCATCATCACCACCACCATCATCACCAACACCACCACAGCAGGTCCTCCCACGGTACAGCCATGTCCTCAGGGCACAACAGTATAAGGCCCGAGGCACCCCGAGTCGACCTCATTGATGCCGTTACCCCTCATATATTTCCTCAAAGCACAACACCATTTCTTATCAGGTGTGAGTGACGTAAGTGTGTCCTTCATGGTAAAGACGTCGGTAATGTCTGCTCTGAGATGCTAATGAAAGTTTGTCCTCACCGTGTCTCTCGTTTTATTGTATTGCTCATAATTATTGGTTGCTCCACACCCCACAGTATCGTCCCGCCGCCGAATTGAGGTGAAATCTAATTAGCATTTTTACACCCGGGAGGAGACGGTACACATGCGATCACCCTCCTCCTGTCCTCTTGTCCTTCTGTCCTCCTGTCCTGTCCTCCTTCCTCCTCTCCTCCTGTCCTTCTGTTCTCCTGTCCTTCTGTCCTCCCTCCTGTCCTCCTGTCCTCCTGTCCTGTCCTCCTTCCTCCTGTCCTCCTGTCCTGTCCTCCTTCCTCCTGTCCTCCTTCCTCCTGTCCTGTCCTGTCCTCCTTCCTCCTGTCCTCCTTCCTACTGTCCTCCTGTCTCATCTGTTTCTCTTCTTCTTCCTTATGTTTTGTTTTTATCATATATGCATTTCTTCCTCCTTTTTTTAATTATACTGTACATCTATTTTTTCTATTTTTATTAATGTCGGTGTTGACCTCTTCCTCCTCCACCTCTTCCTTCTTCTCCTCTTCCACCACCTCTTCTTCCTCCTACTCCTTCTTCCTCCTACTCCTTCTTCACCTGCTCCCCCTCCACCATGTTTTTCTTCTCCTCCTCCTCCTCCTCCTCCACTACCACCACCACCTCCATTTCCTTCATCTCCTCCTCCACCACCGCCACCACCACCTCTTCCTCCTCCTCCACCACCACCTCTACCTCCTCCTTCTCCTCCCCCTTCTCCTTTATTTATCAATTATTCGCCTTCCTCACTCATTACCGGGTGGAAGAAGTTAATGAAACTGGCTGCTGGTTGGATGGTGTTTACAGATAATGAGTGATTAATTCTCTCGCCGCCATGTTTGGTAGACAACTAAAAAAACAACAACACTTTTCTGGATATATGGCTGGTTAGGTTGCGTTTGGTTAGGTGAGGTTAGGTTAGGTTTGGTTGGGTTTGGTTTGGTTTGGTTAGGTTAGGTTAGGTTGGGTTGGGTTAGGTTAGGTTGGGTTATCGCTGGAAGGAACTTGTTGGTGATTGTGTAGAACAGTGAAGGTGTCGACCACACTCACACCTCATCCATCTTCACTGATTAGCCGCGAGCTGGTGGTGGGGGGACACACACACACACACACACACACACACACACACACACACACACACACATTTTTTAGGGACTGCATAGAATTTTTTAGAGAGAGAAATGAAGGTTGTTTGGAGTGAATGTAGCGGGACTTTCAAAAGCTGTGGTGAAAGCATATTGGCTGTGAGGGGTGTGGTTGACTTTCTGCTGGACGAGAACGATGCGGTACTCGTGGGCGGAATGACAGGGTGTGGGGAGGTGTTTGTAGCTGTGGGATGGGTGACAGGGTGTGGGGGGTGTTTGTAGCTGTGGGATGGGTGACAGGGTGTGGGGGAGGTGTTTGTAGCTGTGGGATGGGTGACAGGGGTGTGGGGGTGTTTGTAGCTGTGGGATGGACAGTTGGTGACTGATTAACCGGGTGGTGTTGTGTCCTCCCTGCCACCCTCCAGCTCTTCCCTGCCCTCCCATTCCATTCTCTCAGGCCCCTCCCGGCCGGCCTCCTCCCCCTGGCCCTCCAGCCAGCCAAGAAGGCTGTGTGAGCGGTCACAGTCTTCACCTCGCATGATTCCACATGCAAATGAACTATTGCCGGCTATGAGACACCCGGCCGGCCCACCAAGTATCACTCAGCTGGTCAGTCATCACCCAGCTGGTCAGTCATCACCCAGCTGGTCAGTCATCATGGTCAGTCATCACCCAGCCGGTCAGTCATCGCAGCGGTCAGTCATCACCCAGCCGGTCAGTCATCACCCAGCTGGTCAGTCATCATCCATCATCCAGCCGGTCAGTCATCACCCAGCCGGTCAGTCATCACCCAGCTGGTCAGTCATCATCCAGCCGGTCAGTCATCACCCAGCTGGTCAGTCATCACCCAGCCGGTCAGTCAT